AGTCCCTACACCACATGTGTCAAACTCAAGGCCCGGGGGCCAAATCAGGCCTGTGGTGGATTTAATTTCGGCCCGCAGGATAATTTCTAATTCCTATTAGATCTGGCCCGCCGGTATATTGCATGCACACCTTCACTCCATCCTGAGGGTCTCCTCAGCTCAGAGCCTGAGCCCAAACATTGAGGACCTTGCACCCAAGATGAGATGCCAAGTATCTGAGCTAGCATCACAGAGCAGCACACTGAGTTTAATGGATGTTTCCTTCTGCACTTTCTCTCTCACGACAACAGGGCATGTTTGGTTTGTTCTTTGAGGGAAATAGTTTTGTTGAAGCTGTTGTTGGCCTGTGGGAAAATGTAATCATAAGAAATGAATGCAGCTGATTATTTAATGTTTAATGTTGTTTTTATAGGCAATCATTTAAGCTTTGTTAGTTCCAGGTTTAATATGTGCAATAAGTTCATTTCAATACGTTTTGCAATAAACATTGAACCAGTCCGGCCCTCAACTAGTACCCATTTTTTAATGTTGGCTCACTGTGTATTTGATATTGACACCCCTGCTATCAGCATTGCTTCGATGTCTCACAGCTTACAAAACGAACTTCATTTCATCACACAAAATATAAAGGTTGAAATATAATTATAATGTAAATAAATGGTATCTATGTGCTTTTCAGAACAGATGGTATTAAGTGCTTCACATATCACAGAAAGAAAAAAAGGTCAAGTAAAGCATTCATCACAAAAAATACCCATCTTGTTAATAATTATATCTTTAAATTAGTTTTAAACCTATCAACTGAAGTATAACATCTAAATGTTCCCCCTGAAATTTACAAAGATACCTTCCCTGGATACAATATCATGATTAAATATGAAATGTAAACAAAATATCAAAAGGAACATGTGTAAAATGAACTGAATCTGCAACAAAAATAAGAATATGGCATCATTTTTCACGTAATTGTATATTATTCGGGATGTCATTTGATTTATTTAATGAAAGAGAAATGACAGCTAAGTGTAAAAACATCGCCATCATGAGGTCAAACATGAAAATAAAAAATTACTTACACCCATCAAAAATACAAAATGTAATAAAGCTTTCGAAAGTTTTTGACACAAGGACCTTTGGAGAGTGAAGTGCGTAACTGAATGACATCAATTCATTTTTAACATTATTTGTGCTTTATGGGCATTTTTGGTTATTATGATTAACCGTTTTTTTTTCTAGAGGCACCTCATAAAAAAATATTTGAATTGCATTTACAAAAAAAAGAAATATGAATTTTCTCAGGATTTTTGTGGTTTTGTTTTTCTGCTCGTGGTTTCCTCTCCGCTCGTACCTACACGACACAAACGACGATTTTATTTTAATATGCATGTGGAGGATGACCTTTTGATGTGTGCAAATAAAACAATGTACAAAAATCTAACAATATTTTATTTCATTTTGTTAATAAAAAAAAAGAATCATGAATAATTCGTGAACCAATGATAAGTTAAAAGTTTTTTTTGTTTTTTTAATGTTTTGCAGTACAGTTTTGTATTTGTAATCTTTATTTGTTGTGACTTTCGATGTTTCTTCAGTAGTGCATAAAGTTCAGTAATGTAGACGTGGCCAACAACAGAGTCAACACAGTGTCCTGAAAGAAAAGAGGAAAAATCAAATACAAAATATATCCTTAATTTATCACGACCCCAGTTTAAAAAAATGAATGAAGGACCAATACAAAATGTGTGAATTCAGTGATATACTACACATTAAAGAAGCCACTTTTATTTTTAACTTACGCCAACAGTTTTGCAGCTCTGGCCCGTCGCCTGTGGGAAAAAAAATGTATATAAAAAAATTATTCTGGGTGATTCATATTTTTTCTGTAACAAAACGTTTTTATACATTTCAGGGAAATGTTTTTATAAAAGTAGATTCATTCTTAAAATAATATATTTATAATACATTTTCTGACATTTTTTACTCACAGTTCGGTCCATGGCCCGTTGTTCTTTATCACCCGCTGAAAAAAATTAAATGTCTATTTTATTATTTTGAGGAAAGTGAGGAATTGAACATAAATGAGGTTTAATGCATTATTAATGTTATCATACATTTTTATATTTAAAGTTCTTTATTATTTGGTTACAAAAAGTTATTTTAGTGATTTTAAAGTATATTTGTGTTTTTAATGTTGTATTTTAAAGTGGACCTATCATGCTATATTTGAATAATATAGTGTAGGACCATACCTATATAAGGCATATTTGTACTTTTTATCTTTCAAAATACCAAACAGATCATGCATTTTAGCCATTCCTCATTTCGCTCAATTTAACACTGTCTTTGCATGGGCTGATTCTGTGAGAACAGCACCATCTACAGGCCTGGCATATGTACTACAGCGTCTCCAGCACTTTCCAACGGCAATGTCCGTGGCTGTCTCCTCCTGATTGGTGGAGTTGGCCCAATAGCCGTAGCGCCACTTCTGTGACGTCATAGAAGTGTTCAAATCTGGATCAGTCTGTATCAGATCCGTTGCAGCCCCTTTTTAAGAGATTTGGGTATGGAGGAAAATAGAGAGGGTTGTGTTTTCTGACACTTGGTGAGTTCCCTGGAACACCGGGGACACACATTCATGTATAAAAGACGTACAAAATTTCATTTTGCATGATAGGTCACCTTTAAGTAAAGCTTTTTTGTGTTTGATTTCTGCAATTTTTTGTTTTATTTACAATATTTCGTTTTGAATTTAGAGTGTGGAATTGTTATTATTTTGAATTTACGCTATAGTTATTATTATAATTAGTTTTAAAGTACTTCCTAAATGGTTTTGTATTACTTTAAAATAATAAATATTTATAATTTGTTATAATTATTTTTAATGTACAGTATGCCTATAAATACTGTTTTTATCTGAATATATTTCGAGCAATCAAAGCATGGCTTACCTTTTTTAACGTTGAGTTTTATAGAGCAGATTTCTTTGAGTTCGAGTCCAATTGAAACAGAGCAGCTGTAATTGCCAGCATCAGATTCCTGCAGCGGTGAGATTTTCACAGGAAGTTCCCCTCCCTTGAAATCCCATCTGTCGCCTCCAGACGCTCTGACTCTGAATTTTCCACCCTGGTCATTGAGGGAAAAGTCTTTGCTTTTGTAAACCAGGACATTGACTTCACCGTTGAATTTCCATTCGACTGATTTGATCAAGTTGATTAGATCAGGTCCAACGTGGCAGTCCAGAGTCACGTCCTCTCCCACCGCTGCATCTTTGGTCTGTAGATTATCTGTAATGAGAAAAATCCGATATCTAGTAAACTAACATAAAGCCCAAACAGTTTTGACATATCTTTTAAAAAGAGACAAAATAAAACTACAAGGAGACAGAGTAAAACTACAAGGAGACAAAGTAAGAACTACAAGGAGACAAA